CTGCTCACCGCAAGCTCTGCCTCCCGGGTTCACGCCATTCTCCTGCCTCAGCCTCCCGAGTAGCTGGGACTACAGGCACCCGCCACCACGGCTGGCTAATTTTTTTTTTTTTGTATTGTTAGTAGAGACGGGGTTTCACGTGTTAGCCAGGATGGTCTTGATCTGCTGAACTCGTGATCCGCCTGCCTCGGTCTCCTAAAGTGTTGGGATTACAAGCGTGAGCCACTGCGCCTGGCCCACAATTTTTTAAAAAGAAACAGGACTGAAAGCTAACCCCCCAATACCACAACACCAAGAGTAAGCCCTAACATAAATTATGGACTCAGGTGATAATGATGTGTAATGTAGGTTCATCAGTCATAACAAATATACCACTGCGGTGGACGATGTTGATAACAGGGAGGTCGTGCATATGTGAGGGTGGGAGGCATATGGGAAATTTCTATACCTCTGCTTAGTTTTGCTGTGAATCTAAAACTACTCTATAAAAAGTCTATAAAAAACTAAAACAAAAACTAAACCCCTGAAGGTTGGAATTTTGCAAGACGGAGTAGCTGTTCCTCAGAGAACAGCTATATCCCCCTCTTGGCCAGCACTGGCTTGAGACTTACAGGGTGCAACAGATAATTTCTGTTTCGTAGCAAGAGCATCTCTCACAGTTGTCAGTCTGCCACTTCGAGTTTATCGGGTGTTTGTTTCCTTTGAGATCCGTGCATTCTAAAACAATACACACAACAACATCAGTGCGAGTCATGCAATGAGAACAAGGCTTATCAGGACATTGAGTCCTGCCCCTACTATCTACACCCCTCCCAGAGAGAGAGGAGCTCAATGATTTTAAAGGTATCTAAGAATGGTGCTCCTGTATTCACCCATAACTAATTCCAGTACATGTTCAGTTCATGCTGCTGATGTTTTCTTACAGAAAGCTTACATCCTTCTAAGTTTTATTTCAGAACAGATATTTCAAGAAAAAAATAAGGCCCTTTTTTTGAATCAGGTAGCCATGTGAGCCTATGGGTACTTGGGACCATGTTTTTTCCTGCTGGATTATCTCTGGATAAGTATCTTACTTCTACACTTCCCTTTGCTTTGCATCGGTGGTTTTCAACCCTGGGATGTTTCAACCCACATGTGAAACATCTTGGGTACTTGAAAACCACCCATGTCTCAACTTTACCCTAGAAGAATGAAATCAGTATTTCTGGGTGCAGGACCCAGGCTACTGTGTTCTTAGAAGGTTCCCCAAGTGAGGCCAGGCACAGTGGCTCACGCCTGTAATCCCAACACTTTGGGAGGCCGAGGCAGGCAGATGACCTGGGGTCAGGAGTTCAAGACCGGCCTGGCCAGTGTGGCAAAGCCCTGTCTTTACCAAAAATACAAAAATTAGCCAGGCATGGTGGCACACACCTGTAGTCCCAGCTGCTTGGGAGGCTGAGGAGGTAGAATCACTGGAACCCAGGAGGAGGAGGTTGCAGTGAGCCCAAATGGTGCCACTGCACTCCAGCCTGGGAGACAGAGCATGACTATCTCAAAAAACAAACAAACGGAAACACAAAGGCTTTCATCTGCAGACAGGTCCATCTGCCAGGCTGCAATAACATAATAAACATTGAAAAGCCAAGATTTACCCCTGGTAGAATCTCCTGGAAATCTCTCATTAGGTATGAAAAAGCACGATGCATTGCATAAAGTCACGAAGGTGGCAAAGATCACGAAGCCGCCCAGGAGAACATTCTGTAATGTGAAGAAAGGTCAGGGTGGAGAATGAATTAATTCAGAGGATAATCCTTGACTAAGTGCTGTGTACCAGGACCTCGGCTGGGTTCTGGTGAGAGGTTATGAGGTGGAGTTCCTAACCTCGGATGACCTAGCGAGGGAACAAGACCTGCACAAGTCACTAGCATGAACTACAGAAAGAGGCAAACAGGAGTCAACAGGCATGGGGCAACAACGATAAGTGTGCTGTTTCATTGCAGAGGAAGTTCAGGAAACCCTTACAAATAAGGCAATTTTTAGCTGCTTTGCAGCATATGTAAGACTTCAAGGACAGAATGAGGAGTTTCATGAGAAGAATGAAATATTAACAAAGATAAAGAAGAGAAGCAACACAAATGTATACTTGAAGGCTTATTGTAGTTAACTGGATTCGTTGGAGATATGACTGGAAAAAATTGGGGCCAGGCTATAAACACAGACTGTGAGGCTAAGAACTTCATTTCCTAGGTCATAATGGCATCTTTTATGACTCCATGAACAAACCAGTTAATCTATACTGAAATTTAGAACAAGAAAAAGTATCTAGTTGACTTTGCCATCTTTTTGAGATGAGCTAAATAAACAAACAAACCAACCTTAACATGGTAATTTCTGGGAACTTTTGAAAGGAAAGATGGTGTTAAATAAAATGTATAGGAGGCCATTGGTGTTTGGACTGAGCTCCTGCACTAGGCCCAACAGACCAAACCAAAATGCAGTCGCCCTTGCTGAAGTTCTCTGCCACTAAGCCAAAACTAAGTTGCTTATCCAACCTTCTAAGAAATTAGGAGAGAGTGAGAGGTAATAGCCAAAGGCCCAACAGGCCAGTTTTAGCCGACATGATGAGAAAGTCCCCTCTGCTTTAACTTATAAGCAAAGTCACTTTGAAAAGACCAATTTACTTTTTGTTCTCTGTTTCTGCTTTTTCTGGCTCTTTTCTGTCTATAATGCCAAACTTCTCTGGTCAACTCTGTGGAACACTCAATCTATTTTATGGAATGAGGTATTGCTGATTATAGACTTACAAGTAAAAGTTAATTAAGGGCCAGGCATGGTGGCTCATGCCTGTAATCCTAGCACTTTGGGAGGCTGAGGCGGGTGGACTGCCTGAGCTCAGGAGTTCAAAACCACCCTGGGCAACATGATGAAACCCATTCTCTACTAAAATACTGAAAAATTAGCTGGGCATGGTGGCACGCGACTGTAATCCCAGGTACTCTGAAGGCTGAGGCGGAAGAATCGCTTAAGCCTGGGAGGGGGAGGTTGCAGTGAGCCAAGATTGTGCCATTGCACTCCAGCTTGGGAGAGACAGTGAGACTCCTTCTCAAAAAAAAAAAAAAAAGTCAATTAAGATCTTTAAACTAAATGTGTTGTAATTTTGTCTTTTGACAATGGGAATGAAGGCATTTATTCTGCAAGATTCCTGAAATTTATTATGAAGTGATGTTACTTGAAGTAGTATGTTACTCATATAAGAATAGAAAGATAGGCAGGGCACAGTGGCTCACTCCTGTAATCTCAGCAATTTGGGAAGCTGAGGCAAGCAGATTGCCTGAGCTCAGGAGTTCAAGACCAGCTCGGGCAATATGGTGAAACCCCATCTCTACAAAAAATACAAAAATTAGGTGGGCACAGTGGTGTGCCCCTATAGTCTCTGCTACTTGGGAGGCTGAGGTGGAGAATCGCTTGAACTCAGGAAGGTTGAGGCTGCAGTGAGCCATGATGGCACTACTGCACTCCAGCCTGGGCAACAGAGCGAAACCCTGTCTTAAAAAAAAAAAGGGGGGGCAAACACAGGGATAAAAATAGAAAACCCAGAAAGTTCCAAAGGTAGTTGGATAAGATAAAAAAGAAAAAAGAAAACCTAGAACCTATAAATGTATGTAGAAGTTTATTATAAAATAAACATGTTATTTGAGTTCTGTGGAGAGCGATTATTCAATAAATGGTATTAGAACAAGTGGCGAACTATTTGGGGAAGAAACAAAGTTAATTTCCTACTTGAGTCCCCATTAGTGAAATGAATTCTAAAAGGATTCAAGGGTTAAGTTTTTACAATAAGATCATAAAATAATCACAGCATATATACATAAATACTTATTCTAAGCATAAAAGAAAAATAGATTTGAGAATATAAACGTCATAAGAACATAACTGAAATTAGAAAGATATCAAATTTTCAGAACAATATCATTACATACCAATGGGGGAAGAAAAACATCTTAAACAGAAAAATGGCAAGAGAAATAAAGTGGCATTTCACACACACACACACACACACACACACACACACACAGAAATGACGAATAAACACATGAAACAGTTCAACTTACTGATAACAAAATAAAGGTAAATATGTAGATGAAATATAAACATAATGGGATGGTGAGAATAATCTTTTAATCTATAATACCCAGAGGGAAATAGAGACATCTATGGGAGGTGATATGCACAAGAATGACTTACTTTGAACAATTGTTATGGAGAACAATTTGCTACGATACATCCACATTCTTAAAACCATTTACGACATTTGATTTCACCTTTTCGTCTCCAAGATGTGATCCTAAAAATGGCACAGACACAGAGACAGACTCCTCCACAAGGATGCTCACTGCAGTGGAAAAATGGAAAGAAACAAAATGCCCAAGAACAGAGCTGGTGGAGAACAGTGACTCAGAAAAACACCTGGCGGGCCAGCAGGGTAGAAGGTGAAGTCACATGAGCAAATGATGACCACATGTCACGACATGAAATGAAGCAGGCTATGAAATACGTGATTCCCGTGATGCGGAGAGAGATGCTCAGAACACACTGAGGGTTTTGTACCAAATAACAAGTCATTTTTGGATGGCAGGATTAAGACAATTTTCTTCTTTGGACTTTTCCTCTTATTTTCTAAATTTTCTACAATAAAATGTATGAGTTTTATAGCCAGAAAGAAAGAAAGAAATTCTTTAAAAACAACACAACGCTTGATACATTCAGCTCAAGCCAGGACTTGGAGTGGTACTTGTTCTATTTCATTCTTCTTTTGAGTAACCTTCAGCTCGAAATCAGGGTGGAAACCTAAACGTTTTTTTCCCCCAAAAAGCCAGCCTTGTTGACAGCATTTTTACTCCCTTCATGCAGAAAGAGGGCTCCTGGGGGACTGGGGATCACTGGAATCTTGTGGATCTTGTTTCACTGAGTCACAAAGCAGGAGAGTCAACAGGGACAAGCAGGACTGCATCCCAGGACAAGTGACATGTGCAAAATCCCCAAGTCTCCTGCAGCTCTAGAGCAGAGGCATGAGATTGAACCACCAGGGGAGAGTCCAAACATGGTGACAGCAGAGAGCAAATTATTTAATTTTGAGATTACCCACTTGACAGAAATAGCCTAACACTGAGTCTCTCTCTCTCTCTGAAATTTGGTTTTCCTCCCCTGTAAAAAGAGGGGTTCTCCCACTTGGGTAAGCATTAGAGTTACCCAGGGAGCTCATAGGAAACACCAATCTCAGGGTCAGTGCCTCAGTATCTTTACCTAGTCTCCCAGGTGAGAACCCAGGTACAATGACCAACCCAATGCTGCTTTAATGTGCATATAAATTTCTGGGAGTTTATTTTGTTTTGTTTTGTTTTGTTTGTTTTTGAGACGGAATCTCGTTCTGTCGCCCAGAGTAGAGTGCAGTGGCGCAATCTTGGCTCACTGCAACCTCCGCCTTCTGGGTTCAAGTGATTCTCCTGCCTTAGCCTCCTGAGTAGCTGAGATTACAGGAGTGCACCACCACGCCCGGCTAATTTTTGTATTTGTGGCAGAGACAGAGTTTCATCATGTTGGCCAGGCTGGTCTCAAATTCCTGACCTCAAATGATCCGCCCACTTCAGCCTCCCAAAGTACTGGGATTATGGGCATGAGCCACTGTGCCTGACCAGAGAGCTTGTTAAATAACCTGCAGATTCTGCTTCAGTAGGTCTTCAGACCTACATGGAAACTCCCAGGTGATGCCCACGCTGCTGGTGTGAGGCCCACCCCTGAGTAGAGAGGCTCTAAAGCTTCTTTTCATTCCTGTCTTCTATTCTGCCACCAGCCTTCCCTCCCTTCATGTCTTCCATTCCTGCATTTAGTAATCCTGAGCTCCTGATGTGTGCAGGCACAGGAGATTACACCACGATGCCAGAATGGGCTTGGGTTTTCTAGATGGTGCTGCTAGCCTTGAGGTGAAGCAGACTGGCAGTGCTCTTAGAAGTTGTGTCTCTTTAGGTAAATTACTGCTCCTGGAAGGGTCTTATCCCACGATCAAGAGTTGCGGGTCTGGCCAGGCACAATGTCTCACACCCGCAATCCCAGCACTTTGGGAGGCCAAGGTGGGAGGATCACTTGGGCCCAGGAGTTAGAGACCAGCCTGGGCAACATAGCAAAAACTCATCTTTACTAAAAATAATAATAAATAAATTAATAAATTAATAAATTTAAGTTAATAAAGAGTTGGGGGTCCTCAGGATCTTAGGCAGGCAGCGGTATTGCCAGCTCCGCAGCTTACTAAATTCACTGTGAGGCTGCATGGAGGATGGGCTGGAGGAGCCAGGCGAGTGGAGATGGGGAGGACCTCCCACCCCACTGTTGTTTTACCTTCCCCAGTTCTGCCTCAGGACAGTTTCTGAGAGTTCGTTTGTCTTGCGGAGTGGGCCAGAGGAGGCCCAGGGTCTCCTCCTGAGGACCCTCTCCGGCCTCCCTTGGCTCCTCCCACTTGGCTGGCTGCTTCTTGCCTCATCTCCCTTGCAGCCCCAAGAGCAGCCCAGTTCATTCCCTGGAGTTAACAAAGAATGTTTTAAGAAAGATCAAGTTTAAGACACAAGAAAAGCCTGCAAGAGTTTTTATAAATTCTGAAGCAAAATTCTTTCTTGGGCAGGCACAGTGGTTCACACCTGTAATCCCACCACTTTGGGAGGCTGAGGTGGGCAGATTGCATGAGCCCAGGACTTCAAGACCAGCCTGGGCAGCATAGCAAAATCTTGTCTCTAAAAAAATACAAAAATTAGTTGGGCATGGTGGCGCTCGCCTGTGGTCCCAGCTACTTGGGAAGCTGAGATGGGAGGATCACCTGAGCCCAGGAAGGTCGAGGCTACAGTGAAGAGTGACCACACCACTGCGCTCCAGCCTGGATGACAGAGTGAGATCCTGTCTCAAAAACAAACAAATAAACAAACAAGTAAAACTCCCAAAACCCAAGATTCTTCCTTAACACATGATAGTGAAAAAGGCCTAGGGAAATGATTCCCGAAGTTGAGTAAGCATTAAAATCACCCGGGCAGCTTTTAAAATTGATGCCCTGTTCTCACTGCAGCCCAATTAAATCAGAGTGTCAGAGTGGAAGATGGGTGTCAGTGTTCTTCAAAATTCCCCCAGGAGTTCCACTGCCCAGCCAAGTTTGGGAGCCCCCAGCAGGGAGAGAGGGATGCCTGGGTTCCTATCTCAGCTCATTCACAGGCTTGCGGTGAGACCCCAGTGGCAGCTCCTTTCCCTCCCCAGGTTCAGTTCCCTCATCTCAAAAACAATGCAGTCATGTAGCTCTGAAACTATTTTTAATTTCAAATTTCTCACATGGGACCCAAGAATCAGAGACACCTATGAAATCTAATTGATCCCCAGAATACTGGAAGGAGAAACAACTTACGTCTTAGATAATAGAACTAGTGCTAAACTCATTACAATTTTCGCAAGCTCCCAGACACTCGTACTCTGCACATTGAATTGCAGGTAAAAACAGAAGATTCCTAACTAGGTCACATTTACCATTCAATGCTATGTGGTAGAAGCACACATCACAGCATATTAAAATAAGGAATACATATTCTCTTTTGCTTTTCTAACCTTTATATATAAAACCAGTTACCTACCATTGTGACAAGCAGGACTCCTTATAGACAGGTACATCCAGGAAAAGCTGCATCAAACTTTTATACTGGAGAGGGCAACCACGCATTCGACATCATTGAGAATAACAAGGTGAGAACACATTGAGTGTTTACAGAGGGTTGACTAGTAAAAGGAAAGTATGGTTTCAGATGATTTATGAGTTATTAATCAATCAGATCTCCACCCAAGTTATATGTTTACCTTGTCCCCACCCCGATCTGCATTTGCTCCTGACCTAAACGAGCAGAGGAGGAGAGAACTCCTCTTTGCTGAGCCTTCGCCCTATACTGGTGGATTGCTAGCACATGACGTGTCCTTATTTGATTTTACACACAAAGAAACAGAGCCTCAGGGATGCCAGTCACAACAGCCAGGTGGTGAAGGTGGGTTTTGTGAAGGCATAAGAATAGCCCACAGGTCACTCCATCAGGCCCATTAGGCCTGGATCTGTGGCCCAGATGACACTGCCCTTAGGGTATGGCATGAGAACAGAAATGGGTCAAGCCATCCTGCAGGGCACAGGAGAGCAAGAACTACATACAGCTCGAGTTTCCCTGACAAGCTCAATCGCTGGACCTTTCTAGAGCCCTTCTTGAATCTGTAGTCTACTCCCTGCTGCATCAAGCAAGCCTTCCTTCTCTTTGTTCCACAGTGGTCTCCTCCCAAACAACCACGCCTGCCCTCGTCATAGCCAGGATGGTCTTTGGAGAATGGCAACAAGCAGAACCTCCTAGGGTGCTGGAGGGACTTACTACTTTATCTGTTTGCTCTGGCCACCACAGCAAAACACTGCAACTGGGTGGCTTTGACGAAAGGAATTTATTTGCTCACAGCTCTGGAAACTAGAAATGTGAGGTCAAGCCACTGGGGAAAGCTTGTTTTCCTCTGGGCCCTCTCTCCTTGATTTGCAGATGGCCACGCTCTTGCTGCCTCTTACATGGCATGCATCCCTGGTGTCTCTCTCCGTGCCCAAATTTCCTCTCCTTATAAGGACACTAGCCATATTGGATTAGGGGCCACTATAACTATTACATTTTACTTAAGCCACCTCTTTAAAGGCCGTGTCTCCATTGCAGCCACATTCTGGGATATTGGGGGTTAGGGCTTAAACCAATGAATTTTGGGGGAATGCAATCGAGTTCATAAGACAATTTTATCCCAAGAAGTCCCCTCACACCCTGCCACAGCTTGCTACAGTTCCTAAAATTTAACCCCGAGATCCCTCTGCCCACAGATGAGAGTTCACGCTCCTAACCAGAGGGTCCTTGAGGCTCTTCTGAGCTGGCCACAGTGGCCCTTTCCAGCACCATCCTCTATCCTCCCTAAAATCAGCCTCACCACCCCTAACACAGCTTGGGGTCACTCTCCTGCTCCCTAGAAGAGCTGTAGTGCTGTCTGGCTGCCTCCTCACTCACCAAGGGTGCCACACACTTCTGCCTTCACCTGCATAAGTTAAGTGTTCATTGATTAAATTCCAGGAAATTGGGGCACATTCATTATGCACTGTAGCCCCTTGGTTTCTTTTAAAACTCCAAGTTTGAAGAACTTCCTATAGTGTGAAGTGGAAAGTTCTGCCTTACATTGAGAGCAACTAGGACTTGCTACCCTCACCTCCTTGCCTCCAGGGCACAGGCACTAACCTTGGCTCCAAAACACTCTCATCTCAACAAGTCCTCTTCAGAAAGGGTTCAAGGACACTGGCATCACGCAGAATCTCCCTAGGAATGGTGGTGTGGAGGGTTCTGGCTCTTAGGGCAAGGGTTTCTGGAGTCCAGTGTGCAGTGTCAGTGCATGGGGGCCATGACTGTGACTGGTAGCAAGGTGGTCTTGCTGGAGCAGTGTGGTTTCAGTGCTCTACCTGACCTTATGCCAAGAAAGCCTGTGTCTCTGGCCTTTAGTAGAGGCTTGAATTATCTAATAAATCTCTTTCCACCTCAAATGACCTAGAGCAAGTTCTATTGTTTGCAATTAAGAACTTTGTGACCAAGACGGTGACTGTGACCTATTGCTGTCAGTGTCCCTTCCAGTGCCCGGCAGGGTGCCTGGCACAGAGCAGCTGCCCAGAACAGGATTTCACCTGGGTTCTCTCAGGTATTCCTTAGTAAAAAGTATCCTGGCAAGACCAGCCCACACCACTGCTGACATGAGCTTATCTACTCCAACCCTAGGGGTTGAGAAAGGGATGTTCAGAGCAGGTGTGGCCAGCTGCTGCCTACAGGGAAGAAGGCAAGTGAAATGAGCAGCACTCTCTGGGTGTGTGACAGCCAGCTCTGTCCAAACCTGCTTGATCAGTTTTCAGTGTTGATCCTACCTCCACTGTCACCCTTATAGATGGAACCAGCTTATTTTTCTTTTAATTATTTATTTTTCTTTTTATTTATTTTAATTTTTTTTAAAAGACATAGTCTTGCTCTGCTGCCCAGGCTGGAGTGCAGTGGCACCATGATAGCTCATTGTTACCTCCAATTCCTAGACTCAAGTGATCCTCCACCTAAGCCTCCCAAGTAGGTGGGACTACGGGTGTGTGCCACCACACCCAGCTAATTTTTAGATTTGTTTGTAGAGACAGGGTCTTGCTATGCTGCCCAGCCTGGTCTTGAACTCCTGGGCTCTAGTGATCCTCCTGCCTCCCAAAGTGTTGGGATTATAGGCATAAACCACCATGCCCAGGCTGATTATTATTTTAATGGCCACATTTTATTCCATGGAATGATTTGGGCCATCATTTATTTGGTCAGGTTCCTCTGGTTGAACACTCAGGTTGTTTCTGACTTTATTTTCTATAATTAGAAATACTGTTGAAATCCAGGTCCTTCAGATAAAAATTTCTCACACTTACACTAATTTATTTAAGAGAAATTCATAGAGGCCAGGCAAGGTGGCTCATGCCTGTAATCCCAGCACTTTGAGAGGTCGAGGTGGGAGGATCACCTGAGGTCGCTAGTTCGAGACCAGCCTTGCCAACATGGAGAAACCCCGTCTCTACTAAAAATACAAAATTAGCCTGGCATGGTGGCGCATGCCTGTAATCCCAGCTACTTGGGAGGCTGAGGCAGGAGAATCACTTGAACCTGGGAGACGAAGGTTGCTGTAGGCCGAGATCACGCCATTGCACTCCAGCCTGGGCAACAAGAGCGAAACTCCATCTCAAAAAAAAAAAAAGGATATTAATAGAGGTAGAATTTCTGGGTAAAAGAAAATTATAATTCTCTTAGATTATCACCTATTACTCTGATAGGTTTGAAATATTTTGTCTTAAATTATTTTTCTTTGCTAATTGGCAAGATTATACTTTTTCTTTTTTTTCTTTTTTGAGACGGAGTCTCACTCTGTCCCCCACACTGGAGTGCAGTGGCTCAATTTCGGCTCAGTGCAAGCTCCGCCTCCCAGGTTCATGCCATTCTCCTGCCTCAGACTCCCGAGTAGCTGGGACTACAGGCGCCCACCACCACGCCTGGCTAATTTTTTGTATTTTTAGTAGAGATGAGGTTTCACCGTGTTAGCCAGGATGGTCTCGATCTCCTGACCTCGTGATCTGCCCGTCTCATCCTCCCAAAGTGCTGGGATTACAGGCGTGAGCCATCGCGCCCAGCCTAGACCTTTTTCTGTATATGTATTGACCGGTTGTTTTTCTTCTTTGGTGAATACCCTGTTCACTCATGTCCTTTAGCTATTTTTCTGTTTGGGGTATTTATATTTTTCTCCTGGATTAGTCAAGGCTCCTAATATATTAAAGCTATTAATCTTCAAGTGTCACATGTGTTAAAATATTTCCCTGATTTTTTTCATGGTGAGCACATCCATTCTGGAGTTAAAACTAAGGAATGAGAAATTTTCATTTACATTTTTATCTCTCAAATGATATGTTTTGACATGTAGAGATTTTAAACTTTAACTCTGACTACAGCCACGCTATCCCCACCTGTGGGTCAGCCTTACAAGTCCCAGAGAACACCTCAAGATCCATGGAGTCACACAGCCCTTGGGCTGATGCTGTGGCAGGGGCTGCCATTCATTCCCGGGCTTTTTTGTTTTGTTTTGTTTTTTGTTTTTTTTTCTGAGACACGGTCTTGCTCTGTAGCCCAGGATGGAGCACAGTGGTGCGATCTCAGCTCACTGCAACCTCCGCCTCCCGGGCACAAGCAATTCTTGTGCTTCAGCCTTCCCAGTAGCTGGGGCTACAGGCATGCACCACCATGCTTGGCTATTTTTGCATTTTTAGTAGAGACGGGGTTTCACCATTGCCCAGGTTGGTTTCGAACTCCTGACCTCAAGTGATCTGCCTGCCTTGGCCTCCCAAAGTGCTGAGATTACAGGCATGGGCCACCGTGCCCCGCCATCATTCCCAGTGTTAAAAGAACCTTAGACAAATTAAATTTAACAGAGTTTGATTGTGCAAAGAACCATTTGTGTGAATCAGGCAGCCCCCAGGAAAAAATAGGTTCAGAGATACTCCTGCGCTGCCTCATAGTTGAAGATTTATGGACAGAAAAAGGAAAGTGATGTACAGAAAGTGGAAGTGAGGTACAGAAACAGATGGATTGGTGACGGCGTGGTGTTTGGCTTATTTGAGCCCAGTTTGAACAGCTGGCCGCCTGTGAGTGGTTGAAGTCTGGCTGCTGTGACTGACTGAGACTCAGCTACTTGGTACGAAAGTAGGTGACAGCCTATTTATGTCCAGTTAGCTTACAGTTCACTGTGTACAGATAAAACTTTAGGGTGAATTTAAAATATGTGAGGAGAAGGCTTTAGGCTAAACTTGATTTAACACCAGGATTGGTGGGGGCTCCCCTCACCAGTCTTCAAGTTGATGACTTGTCTCCCATCCGCTCCCTCTCCCATCCTGCTCTAGAGCCTTTCCAAACCATGATCTCTTCTCTTAAACCTCTCACTCAACTGCCTACTTCATACCCAGAACATAATCTTACTTGGTATCTCACAGAGACCACAGGTGAAAACTGCACCCCCACACCCACCCTGCACATTGCCCTCCACCAGCTCCTGTTCTTTCCACTTTCCCTCTGGGTGTC